ACAGCAGGGGGCAGAGGGGAAAGGAAATCAACTCGTACCTGAATTTCAAATCCGAAGGCTTCGCCGTCTTGTTTCTCTAAAGTAATAATCCTCCTGAAGAGAAAACAGCAGAAAATAATTGCCATTATTTAGGGATGGCTTTATTCTGCTCTCTTTTTCCCTCTCCAACCCTCCTGGTGGTCAGAGGCAAAGAAAGCCTAAGCAAGGACTTACACAAGATTGCCCATGGTAGACTGGTTAGTAAGGTTAGACCACATGGAATCCAGAAGGAGTTAGCCAATTGGATACAGAATTGGCTTGATGGTAGGAGGCAGGGGGTGGTGATGAAGGGTTGGTGTTCAGACTGGAGGCCTGTGACCAGCGGTGTGCCACATGGATCGCTGCTGGGTCCACTGTTGTTTGTCATTTATATAAATGATTTGGATGAGAATATAAGAGGCCTGGTTAGCATGTTTGCGGATGACGCTAAAACTAGTGGTATAGTGGACTGTGAAGAAGGTTATCTAAGAGTACAATGGCACCTTGATCAACTGGGCCAGTAGGCCAAGGAATGGCAGATGGAGTTTAATTCAGATAAATGCGAGGCTTTGCATTTTTGTAAGACAGACCAGGGCAGGACTTACACAGTTAACGGTAGAGTCCTGGGAAGTATTGTCAGACAAAGAGACCTAGGGGTGCAGGTACATAGTTCCTTGAAAGTGGCTTCACAGTTAGACAGGACGGTGAAGAAGGTGTTTGGCACACTTGCCTTCTTTGGTCAGAGCCTTGAGTATAGGAGTTGGGAGGGTCATGTTGCGGCTGTACAGGACATTGATTAGGCCACGTTTGAAATACTGCATACAATTCCGGTCCCCTTCCCACAGGAAGGATGTTATTAAACTGGAAATGGTGCAGAAAAGATTTACAAAGATGTTGCTGAGACTGGAGGGTTTGAATTATGTGAGGCTGGACAGGCTGGGACTTTTCTCCCTGGAGTATAGAAGGCTGAGGGGTGACCTTATAGAGGTTTATAAAATCATGAGAGGCATGGATAGGGTAAACAGACAAGGTCTTTTCCCCAGGGTAGGGGAGTCCAAAACTAGAGGGCATAGGTTTAAGGTGAGAGGGGAAAGATTTAAAACGGACCTAAAGGGCAACATTTTCACACAGAGGGTGGTGCGTGTATGGAATGAGCTGCCAGAGGAAGTGGTGGAGGCTGGTACAATTACAACATTTAAAAGGCATTTGGACAAGGACATGGATAGTAAGGGTTTAGAGGGATATGGGCCTAATGGAGGCAAATGGGACTAGGTCAGATTGGGATATCTGGTCAGCATGGACAAGTTGTCCAAAGGGTCTGTTTCCGTGCTGTATGACCCATAACTCTTTCCCCCAGGTTGGGGACACTGAGGCCAATTGCACTCTCCCCCCTCCTTCCCTTCAGTCTCCTCTGCCCAGCCAAAAAAGGGTCAAAGCCAAAGACAGAAGCTCACAAATACCGAAAAGCCCTTCGTACCTTTCATGCTCGGGAGAGTCCGTCAGTGTTTTCCATTTCATCAACGACCTCTGCAAGAAAGATCAAACAATTCAGATTTCAAAATAAAAGTTGGATCAGAATTCTCAATATGTTGATAGGCACTCTTTTGACCTTGTGAATTAGTGTCTCCAATGAAGATCAAGCTTGTGATCAAAAGGTTATGCTACGAGATCTAGGGCACCAAATACATCGATCTAAAGTCCCTCTCCTTACTAACCAACTGTTCCCTTTTCTCAGTATTCCCCTCCCCTCGCCTAATAACCCAGTTCTTGACAATAGAGCGGGGATTTGAGGATGATCTAACCGGCCATGATCGGTTTGAATGGGCTGAATGGCCTGCTTCTGCTCCTATGACAGAGGAGCAACCCATTTAAAAGTTGGAGTGAATGGCATCCCACAGTGTCATCACAAAGTTCAAATTCAAATCGCATCGAAACTAGCCTTTTTTTCAATTCACGGGATGAAGGTGTCACTGACTAGACCAGCATTTATTGTCCATCCCTAATTGCCCAAAGGGCAGTTGAGAGTCAGTCACATTGCTGTGGGTCTGGAGTCACATGTAGGCCAGACCAGGTAAGGATGGCAGGTTTCC